ACTAACCCTCTCTTGAAGTCTGAGGTTCAAGGTCAAGAAGGTAGGCAGGCAACTCTTGCAAGAATAGGTAAGTGAGGCATGAATGAGTACATAGTATTTGTACGAAAGAGGACATGAGAACTCAAAAACGTGATTAACTCTTACTTTGTAGAAAGTATGCGATTACTCTACTAAGTCACCACAAGCATTAACGTAATAACAAGCCACCTCACTGAACAAAAATACCATTTACGGGTACTAAAGTATTCGATTGGTCTAACACGGGTTTATACAGTTTCTTACAGCGTTGTACAAAAGTATGTTATCTTGACAATCGAAGGTGTCCAAATAGATTTTCGTATGTTTGCATAAATTTAGGTTTCAAATTAGATTCTTAATTTTGTGACTAAATTAACGACTATTTACTTTTGTAACATCACATTTTGTTTTATTAGGGCATTTTATCAGTCGGGGGAGTATTTGCTCCAATGGCTCTTAGTTGATATTGGACACCGAAGCTGGGCAAAATTTCAACTAGGCTACGATCCAAGAATGCTGGTGGTGAGATTTACTGCTCTTCGACTACAGCACGACCCACTTAAGTTAAGCAACTTTAATTAAATACGAAGACCAAGCCAAAATAACATTAATTAGACTAGAGATGGATAAAATTCTCATACGATAGGGGTTGAGATTTTCCCGTCTGTATTTGTTTGCCCCCAGAAAGAGTAGTGTAGGAAGATTTTCCGCATGTAGGAAAAAATGACTGTAAATTGTAATGCGATAAGTAGTGATACTTAAAGCCTGGAGTCGAAAGATCCTAAGAATCCTTTGCTTACGGATTGGATTAATAAAGTATTGTGAAAGCCCACATGTAAATTTTAATATGTGGATCTACACGATATCGCGGCGCAATTCCTTTTTGTAGCATTAAAGCAAACAGATACACGCAAGAAGTGTTCACTGTATGCAAAAGTGGTTCGATGCTAATTTGTTATATAGGCTCCGTGACGGCAGTGAATGTCTTCTTGGGTTCCCTTATTTAGACGACACGATTTCAGACAACCACAAAGTCCGCAAAACCAATGCCACATTAGAGAGGGAGGTGTCGCCGAAGTCCTCGTTTGCACCGGTCACTTTCAAACTCACTTACTCCCCCACCAGTTCCCGTTACGCCTGATTATCCCAGCCCCTTCCGTTTACCTTAGCGTTAAGAAAAAGCGAACAAATGAAGTTATATTTATCAGCATTGAGAAATAAGTTGAACGAAATGAGAAAAGAAATTTTCCACTAAGGATGAATCCAACAGGACAATAATAAATCTAGAAAATGTTAAAAGTGTTCCATTTAAGAAGGCGGCGGAAGTTTCATCAAGGACACCAAAGCCATCGTTTTATGTAGACAAAGGCTTAGCTCTAAAATCACAAGCACTATAATCCCATCGCCATGGCGACGGAAGGAGGAAGGTGGTTCATCCACGTACTTATTTCGGACAGATGAACTTGCGCCAACTACTGTGATCATCGACTTGTGAAGTCAGACTGGAGGCGCCAGGGAATCGAAGAGCAGCCTCGTGTGAATGATGATCAAAAGTGCGATTTGATTGGAATTTTAGCAAATCACTCTCAACGGGGAAGCGGTAGGGGAATATGGCATATTGCATAATACGCGGAAACATGTGCTCCATCATCTGCACCGCATGACAAATATGGCTAAAGGAGGGACCGCAGATTGTGAGCCGTCGCCGTGGCAGACCCTTAATGATGGATCTTCGCCCGTGCAGTTTGCCTAGCCTTACGGAGCACTGAGTTTGCGCCTCAAGAGCCTTCAAGCGACGATCCTTCAACGAACCCTGCACCTCCTCAGACTGCATCAAACGATGCCGTGCCTCTTCGCATAATTCCGCATTTTTTACCATCTCAGCGCATTCAGCGCAGAAGAACGGATACAACTCATCGTCTACCTGCATTTGGTGAATAAATTAATTAAAAAAAGTCCAATACTATTTAAACACGTCGGGACGTCATTCAAACTTAACCAAAATAGAATGCTAACACCTGCGTTCTCTTGACAGAAAAGGCGTGCCATTCAAGCTCTCAATGTTGTACATTAAAATAGAAACCATCTAAGCTAAAAATACATGTCGTGGAAAGACCCCTAGAGTTCCGTTTCCACCTCATAATCAAATACCTGAAGACCTCAATGACTCACTTCGTTGGACGCCAAGTAGATGAAGATACAGTAGTGGCACTTAAATTTCCCGCAAAAGTCAACTGTTTCGGGACTAGCATTGTCTAGATCACGTTCAGCTGTGGGATCGGGAGAAAATCCAACGCCAATAAGCTCCCTTCCAGCCGACTTTCCTCGTCTTTTGCTTTTTACCTCCCTAGGCTTCTGCTCTTCTCTGGAACTTTCAGCGGAGTTCGAACCGTTGACATAAAACTGCACCACCTCTACCGCCATCTTCGTGTCCTAGTCCCCGTATCCTAAATTCCACGGTCAATAAGTTTAAAATTAGGAGTCACATGACCAATAGTACATATAATATTCAATAATCCGGTTGGCACTGACAGAAGTCAAGATCAATGCACCGCCGTTTCTGTTTGTCTAAAGATTCTTCCAAGGCGTTATCCTCTGTTTGCACTCCAAACTCGCGGAAATTCATCGAAGACCCTGTGGTATACCTACTGTGAAGTCTTCTTATGCTTCTTCGTACTGCTCGAACAAACAAGTTTAGAGGAAACAAGCCCTTAAGGATAGAATTGGTCATTAAAACTAGACTGAAAAATGGGCGTGCGACGGTAGTTGTCACACGAGGGGCTGCTATGCGCCTAGTGACGCCTCGCTGGAATGCGGCAAGCCTATTTTTCCATGTGTTGTCTTCAGAGAAAGTTTCAAGTTCCATGCTTTCCTCCCTACTCCATGCCTTACGGTGGAGTGATCGCATTCGACGCTTTGCTTCACTTGCATCGTATGCACTGAATCGGTAAAAGTGATCTGTTGATCTCTCGGTTACGGACATTTTACTATCGTCACATGCTGTCACTTGATGATGACTACTAAGCTCTGTTAGAGATTCTAGAAATCGATGCTAGGTTTTAAATTAATTAATCGATGCGCCATGCAATTCGCAAGTTTCTGCCCGAAGCCTTTAAACTAGACGTTTGCAAAAGTTTCGTTGCATAAATGGAAAGAATATCCAGTTAAACGGTAACAAAACCCAACAGCGACTCTATAAACGCGAATATGGAAGGTCTTTTAATGCACCATTTATAAAGGAACCAGATACGATCCAGAAAATCAATTAACATCAAAAATGTCTAATTAAAAACATGGAAACTAAAGGAGCCCCAAAACTATTTGAAGGCGAAGAAATGGAACAACATAAGCGTACTATGGAGAGCCAGACTGACAGAAAAGTATGCCGATCGAGACCAGCAGGATTCCAAGATAACCTTGAGAGAGGAACAGTAAACGACCAAGTTCTCAACACCAAACTTGGATCATGCCATTTAGAAGATGTCTGATTGTGTGTTTGCAGTGCATATTTTAAAGTGCGAAATACAAAGAATTAAAACCCACCTTTCAAATTGAGCGTTTCATTGAAAAAAAGGTGGGCAGTCAAGGCAGAGAACACAACACTACAACTGTTGCTCAATGATACATGATTCGTAAGGCCTGAATGGAAGGCGAAATGAGTCCTTACCTGCATCTCTCAAATTTACGTAATGTAAAAGAGAGCCAGTTTGATTCAGAAGAAATACAACCGGACTCTAACATAATAATCAACATCAGCCCACATACAAACGGTGACCGCGTGTATTTTAAGAAAGTGTTCGTTGTTCCCCAAATCAGACCAACCGCAAGACTAATGCATAGCGGATCCATCAAAGGCCTAAGAACAAGTTACACGCGTTGAACAGCCAAAATTTGCTGAACGGCAGTGATCCTATCAGGAGAAAACTATAAGTTAAGAATTTAATCAGTGACAAGCAATGAAAACAGGTAAGAAAAGCAAAGAACGATCGAATACCAGCCGAGCGCGAGCTCCTCAGCGCAAAAGGCTAAGCTCACAGTAATAAAAAACCTGAGTGTTCCATAATTTCAAGGCCACTATGTTGCATCCAAGGCTAGCAGAACTAATTAAGATTAAATTATTTGAGATTAATAGTCATTAGCTTTAATAAAAGGTCTTCCTATGCACAAAACTGATTAAATCATAAATCGTCCTGCACCCATTAACAAGTTTCGCTTTCTTGCAAAAAGAAAACATATATGCAATTTTTAAAATAGTACATGTACAAATTCAATCCATAAGTGTTCGTCATTATAATTTTTTGCAGCGTCCCAAGACCATCTGATTAGCTGAAGAAGAAGCTCACAAGGCACATAAAGCGGACCTAGTAAACTGCCAAACAGGAAAAATGTTACGGAGAGGTGCAGCAAAACAAAAAGCTGCATCACCTACATGGTGAAACGCACATCAGACGCTTCAGGGTGACAAAGAACGTGCTGGTGGAAACCTGCTGCGCTGCAATGCGTCGACAGGCAGTTTGCTTATCCAAGTAGCTCCTCTCCTGATACGACAGGGTGTTGCACAACCCCATTTACCCACTTCCAT